TAGGAAAAGGAAAATAAGATAGGAAAAAGAAAATAAAAAAAGGAAAACGAAGAGGAAAAGAAAATAAAGAGGAAAAGGAAAATAAAAAAGAGAAAAGGAAAATAAAGAGAAAAAGAGCAAAAGGAAAATAAAGAGATAAAGGGAAAAAGGAAAATAAAGAGAAAAAGGGAAAAAGCAAAATAAAGAAAAAAAGGGGGAAAGGAAAATAAGAAAGGAAAAGGAAAATAAGAAAGGAAAAGGAAAATAAGAAAGGAAAAGGAAAATAAGAAAGGAAAAGGAAAATAAGAAAGGAAAAGGAAAATAAAAAAGGGAAAAGGAAGAGGAAAAGAAAATAAAGAGGAAAAGGAAACTAAAAAAGGGAAAAAAATAAGATAGGAAAAGGAAAATAAGAAACGAAAAGGAAGAGGAAAATAATTAAAAAGAGGAAAAGGAAACTAAAAAAGGGGAAAGTAAACTAAAAAAGGGAAAGTAAACTAAAAAGGGGGAAAGGAAAAGAAAAAGCAAGAGGAAAATGAAAAGGAGATAATGAAAATAAAAGGGGGAGAGGAAAAGGGGTTAAGGGAAGAGGAAAAGCAAATAGGGAACAGGAAGGATGAAAAGGAAAATGGGTTAAGAAAATAGGAAAGGAAAAAGTTAAAGGGAAAAGAGCAAAGAGAAGAAGAAGAAAAGGGAGAAGAAGATGAAGAAAAGGAAGAAGAGGAGGAAGAGGAGGAAGAAGAGGAGGAAGAAGAGGAGGAAGAAGACAAAGAGGAGGAAGAACACGAAGAGGAGGAAGAAGACGAAGAGGAGTAAGAAGAGAAGGAAAAGGAGGAAGAAGAGGGAGAGGAGCAGAGCAGCCGAGCGCCGCAGTGCCGAGCTGCCGCGGCAGGTGGTGATGCTGCACCGCTCAGCCTCTGCCTCCTCCAACACCTCATCCCCTTCCAGCCTCGACCTTCAACCTTCAGCTCATGAAATACACTCCGAGGCTCCAACTCCTGCTCTGATGCTCCCCCAGGGAGATGCTGGGCAGGGTGTGCTCCCCAGGCAGAGCAGATAAACGGCCCCGAGGGCAGATTGATGCACCAACGGGGAAAAGGTGAATATAGTTAGGATTTATCTCCTTCCTCTGCAGTAAATCTCTGCATCCTGAGTGAATGATGGTTTCATTTTAGGGGTTAGAAAAGAAATCAGGCAGCAAAGTGTCAAAAGTTTAAGCAAACAGAAATGATGGAAGCAAAGAGATCCCGTTGTAACTGACCTTTGCGGTACCTCACCCGTGCGTGGAGGGAATGTTCCATCCAGGGAGAAACCAGTCCAAGAAACAGCTCCTTGTCCCTGGGGGTAAACCAGGCAGGAAAACAGCACAGGGGAAGGCTGGGGAGAGGCATCCTACTGCCAGCACCCCGGGGAGGAGGAGTGGGCAGCAGCAGCATGTGGAGGGACCACGGACACCCAGGGACAGGAGAGAGGTTCTTCTCTCTGTGATAGGACCCAAGGGAATAGCTGGAGCTGTGTCAGGGGAGGTTTAAACTGGAAAAGGTTCTTCCCCCAGAGGTGTTTGGGCACTGAACAGCTCCCCAGGGCAGTGGGCACAGCCCCAAGGCTGCCAAAGCTCCAGGAGTGTTTGGCCAATACTCTCAGGCACGGAGTGGATTGTTGGGGTGTCCTGTGCAGGGACAGGAGTTGGACAGATGATCCTTGTGTGTGTCCCTGTGACTCCCACCCCCAGGCCAGATGCTCAGACCCAGGCAGGAGCTGAGGTGCTCAGGGAGAGCTGAGTGAGGAGGAAAGCTGCAGAGCTGTGTGTGCACACAAACTCTCCTGCCTGTCCCTCCCAGCCCCCTGAGCCCACCCCACCGTCCTGCTGACGCACAGAGAGCTGCAGGGCTGAATGAGACTTGTTTGAGCTTCCAATTAAATCTCCATGGACAAGGGACACTCATATCCTCTCCTGATAAAAGGGAACCATAAATCCCCCGGGGAGCAGCAGCTGTGGAGAGCACCAAGGCAGCAGCAGCAGCTCCTCACTCCCAGATGGGTGTCAGGGTAAGAGCCCATTTTCCTCTGCTCCACACAACAGGTTTGCAATGTGAGGGGACAGGGTCTGTGCTGGAGGTGGGAGTCTACATGTCTTTATTGTCTGTGCTTCTTTACTTTTTCTCTCTTGTAAATTTATAGATATTTATATCTTCTCTTGCATTAATGCTGTTATTTGGTATTTACTAGCACTGGAGGCACAGGGAGAAGTGATCCCTGTGCCCCAGCTGAGGGACTGTGTGCCACTCACAGTTGGTGACAAAGCATTTGGAGTGTTTGCTTGTTATCATTACAAATGGATAACTCTCATTGCCTGGGATTTCAGGAAAGCACAGGATCATTGGGAAGAGGGATAGCTCAGCCTCAGCTCCATTAGTTTTGCTACTTAGTCTCTGACGTGCCCAAGAGCTGTAAGAACATTAATGGCTAATTGGTTGGTTTAATGCAGATTTCTGATGGCTATTTGGGCTGTGAGGATGTTCCCTCAGCCCCTCTGAAGCTCTGATCTCCAGCATGTACCTCAGGCTTTGAAGTCCTGTGTCTCGCTGTGACATTTCAATTAGGTCAAATAAAAAGACATGTGAGGTAAATGAGTTCCCTTTGAGGCCGAATTTAATCTCCAAAGAACAAACACGGAATAAAAGATGTAGAGATTACCTCAGACAAGCTGCTGGTTGATCTGAGCTCAGAGTCTTTGGGAGAAGACTTAAATGATGCCTTGAAGCAGGTACAAGGTGTCTCAGGAGAGTGGAAAGGGGTTGAGGCACACTCAGCAGCGACTTTAAAAGCAGGATTGAGGAAAACACGGGGTTGGATAGCAATGCTGGTGGTCTCAGCTCCTGGGAAAAGCACACAGATCCTGGGGATCAGCACACAGGTCCTGGGAATAGCACCCAGCTCCTCTGAACAGCTCCCAGCTCTTGGGGAATGGCACCCAGATCCCAGGGATCAGCTCCTGGAGATGGCACCCAGCTTCTGGACACACACACAGTGACCCCAGGAGTGGCTTTCCAAAGGGAGAAGCTGTGAGCTGTGGGAGGTTATAACTCAGAGTGTTCTCTCTAAAGGTTGTCAGAGACCTTCATCCCTGAGCCCAGGAGCCTGCAGGACCCCAGCCAAGCTCTGGTCCCCTGGCCATGTCCCCAGCTGTGCCCTGGCACTGGCTGGCCATGGGCAGGGCATCCCCGAGGCTGGTGCTGGTGGTGGTGTTCGTGGCTCTGCTGCTGGACAACATGCTGCTGACAGCTGTGGGTATGGAGTGGGAAGAGCTCTGGGGCTGCCTTGGAGTTTGGAGCCTTCTCCGGCTGGTGCTGGAGGGTTCTGTGGGCAGGGCTGGGTGCTGGGAGCTGCCAGGGCACCCACATCTGGCCAGCACCATTCAGTTCAGCTGTGTGCTGAGCCAGAAAGTGGAGAGAAATCCCTAACTAATCCCTTCCCTGGGTCTTTTTCCAGTGCCCATCGTCCCCACCTTCCTCTATACAACAGAATATGAAGGTGCCAACAGCTCCTTGGCCCCAGCCCAGCCCGAGCCAATGCCTGCAGCCTGGAAAGCTCCTTCTTTCTCCTCCATGTTCTCCTATTTTGACAACACCACAGTGATTGTCTCAGGCTCTGTCAATGCTGTGGAGGTGAACAGGACAGAGAGCAGTCACCCAGCAGAGCCCCCCAGCAGCCCCCCAGCCCCATCCAGGGGCTGCCTGGAGGGTGAGGAGTTCCTCACCAAGGAGAACGTCCGTGTGGGGCTGCTCTTTGCCTCCAAGGCTCTTGTACAGCTGATGGTCAACCCCGCTGTGGGTCTCCTGACCAACAGGTAGGTCAGACCTGGGTTTGAAGCAGGCTGCAGCCCCCTCAGGGACTCAAATCCCCATTAGCTGAGCATCTGCAGCTGCTTCAATCATGGGATGACAGGAACTGGGGGGGAGAATAGCAGGGGGAGAATATACCCATCAAAACAACATGAATTTCACCTTTTCTAAAAGCCTACACATGGCTTGTGAGTTATATTAGAACACAAGTCTCACTAATGCTCTCCTCAGGTGCTGACAGATGCTGTTTCATACCAGTAACCACCACATAAACACAGATTCCCAACCTGCTATGGGTATAATGTTGTTTTCAGGTTTTCTTTGCCTGTGTCTCCTGCAGACACATGTGAGCTGTGCTGGGCTCAGCTCCAGAGGGGCTGGGTGGGCAGATGTGCTGGGGAACAGAGCTGTGTCTCTGGGTGGGTGTTACAGGATTATCAGGGGGCACTGGGTGCTCCCTTGTCCAGCACTCATGGGCACATCCAACCATTCAGGAGACACTTCCCAGCCCACAGAGACCTGTGTGCTAAGGCAGGGCAGCAAGGCCAGATCCCAAGGGAGAAGGAGGAGCCCTCCCTGAGCTGTTACCTCTTTTCTCCCTCTCCAGGATAGGATACCACATCCCCATGTTCATCGGGTTCACCATCATGTTCCTCTCCACAGTCAGTGAGTACTGCCCTTCCCTCTGCCCTTCCCACACAGCAGCACAGCAGAAACTCCTTTGGTCTGTGCCTGAACTGCTGTACCCAAGGAGGAGGAAGGAGAGCAGAGCAATCAGTCTCAGAAATGGGTGACAAGAAAGGATGAGCACCCCTCTGTCCTCTCACCCCTCCAGCACCCAAACTGCTGCCAGCTGAGGCTGTTCTTACCCTCTGCAGAGTTTTAAGGCTCAGTCTTCAGCTCTGCCTGATGCAGCTCTCCCCTCCCTCTGCAGTGTTTGCTTTCTCAAGCACCTACACCTTGCTGTTCACCGCCCGAGCCCTCCAAGGAGTTGGGTCCTCGTTCTCATCAGTGGCAGGTAAGTGTTTTAGCTACACCTTAGTCCCCACATTACCTCCCCTTGTCCGGGTTCAGTTATCCTCCTCCCCCTCCTCTCTGGCCTGCCTGGCTGGTGCAGACAGGACCTCCCAAAATGGGAGCCTGCTTCCAGAGAGGAGCCCAGCAGCCTGGAACCATCTGACCTCAGGTGGCCTCTGCTCTCTCCCTGCTCCCAGGCCTGGGCATGCTGGCCAGCGTGTACACAGATGACTCTGAGAGGGGCAGTGCCATGGGGATCGCTCTGGGAGGCTTGGCCTTGGGTGTGCTGAGTAAGGACACCTTATCCCAGTATCTCCATCACCTGCGGCTCCACCTGCCTGGCTGTGCCCCTTGGCTGGTGACATCCCTCAGGCACAGCTGGATGTTCTCCTCCCTCCCTCTGCTCCCTCTCCGCTGCCCACAGGACCTGACACCTTCCCCAGACACCCAGCAGGGACTCACAGGGAGCACTGCTGGACACTGGGGTGGTGGCACTGCCCTGGTGTGACACAGCCTTTGCCTTGCAGTCGGGGCACCCTTTGGGAGCATCATGTATGAATTCGTGGGGAAATCCTCTCCCTTCCTGGTCCTGGCGTTCCTTGCCCTCTTGGATGGAGGTGAGAAGCCAAATGGTTTAATCACACAAAAGAAAAAAACATGTGAAGAGACTTAGACGTGGATGGTTTGGGGAGAATCTGTGAGAAGGAAGAGGCACAAGTGATCTCACCAGCACTGGTTATTCTGTTCGGTCTAAATCACATGTTTTCTATCTCCAGATGATTGGCACAGCAATATATAAGAATTAATCCCTCATTACTTAATAAACCTCCTGATTGCTTTAATGGCTTGAGCAGCACATTCAGTAAAGCTCTTTGAACTGGGAGTTCTTCGGAAAGACACTTGTCTGCAGCCTCTTCATGCCATGAAGGAATCAGACTTTGCCAGTGTAAAATGGTTTCTTCTTCTTCCTCCCATTGCTGTGCCACAGACAAAGGCCGCAGGAGCCTTCCCAGTG